CTCAGTTCTGGGCACCGGCGTGGAGCGTGCTGATGGCGGCTTGGCACCACTTCGTCGTGGCGTCGATGGGCCATTGTATTCTCCTGCATCGAGATGTTTATCGGTATTGGAGGGTGTGAGAGCAGATAGGACTGCGCCGCGACTTTGCGGGCTGGAAGTGGGCGGTCGATAGGACGGGACGCGGGGACTGCGATTTGCCTTCTGTAGGGCCCGGGTGATGGCCTTGACTTTCTTCTTGCCAGTCTAGATAATACATTCAGGTAAGTACAACTGTAACACAATGTGGCAATGATGACGAACCTTGTAGTCGAGATACTTTGCCCGCCATTCAGGAACGAGTTCCTGTTCCAGCTCTCTGCGGATTTGGTCAGCCACTGGAATGTCGCACACCGTCACGGGGGAATACAAACTTGGCAAATTTCATCCTGACCAACAATCCACCGTCATTGCATACGGTTTCGAGACCTGGAGTGCCGGCGCTGATCCGAACATCAAATCTCACACAAGTGCGAGGGTTCCAAAGCTGGAGCAAGAGTAAACGAAAGCCTCGCCACTCCTGAGTCGAGATAGGGGAAGACGGATAGTATTGGAAAGAGGACCTCGAGGAAAAACAAGTATGTTGTAGAAATTCCAACGACGCTATACTCAGATCCGAAGATTCTCCCCAGAAAATCTGCAACGCCGCAAACTCTACGGAGTATCCCCGCTGAACCTATACTTTTGGCACGTGTATGAGCTCATTCACGGTCGGCGCCTGAATTGTCAGGCCACAAGCCCACACTTGGTCAGCCTTGTACACTGATTGGCTGGGATGAGATCTCAGACCCACAAGGCCAGATTCCTGAAGTTTGGGGAATCCAAGACCTGGGAATATCCTCACTTCTTTCATGCTCCAGGGCTTATCAAGTATTCAACCGTGCAATGATCTGTCACTTCCTATGCAGAACGAATACGAAAATACCCCGAGACCGACGCAATTCATCGGCGATTGATCCAACGACTGTCTCCTATCTAAGATACGGCAGCATTGGAATGCGGCCGGAATGCCGTCGGCGTGTTCTCATGGTGATGACTGGCTTAAGAAAAGCCCCGGCATCCCTGTGAAAGCTTGGCGCATTTTCTCGGTCGGACGAGTGTCTTATTCGTAAGTAGAAGTACGTAGCCCTACGTATGTCTATCGGAATTATGCCATGCAAGTTCATATCGTGCATACATATGATCTCGGGGTAGGGATATTGATATCGATATTGGATTACATTGGACACTCCATTTCACCGCTCTTTACAGATACGAGGTTGAGATATTCAAATTGTTCGATGGATCATATCTCTTTCTTACTACATACCACCACAGGGGTGTTCATAAAACAAGTTTCATCATTCATGTATTGCTATCCTCGACACGACTGGCCTAGTAGTTGCGGTTGTCCTCGCGGTAGTTGTCACGGCCGTTGTCACGGCCGTTGTCGCGGTAGTTGTCGCGGTTGTCACGGTTGTCACGGTTGTCACGGTTGTCACGGTTGTCACGGTTGTCACGGTTGTCACGGCCGTTGTCGCGACCGTTGTCGTGCTGCTCGTAACGCTCCTCGTACATGTGCTCGACGTTCTTCTTGGCGTGGTGCTCAGCCTTCTCGCGGTCAAGCCAGTTCATGCCCTTGGTCTCGGCGAGCTTGTCGACCTCGCCACCGACCAAGCCGGCGATGAGCTCCTTGGCCAATTTGTGGCTGGAAGGCTTGCCTGTTGTTCAATTACAAGTCAGCAGATTGTCCATTATTAATTAATTGGGGATGTAATGCGTGTCACGTACCCTCCTTGCGCTCGTGGTCCTCGTAGGCCTTCATGGCAGCAAAGGAAGCGGCACCGGCAACGAACTCGTGAGAGAACTTGCCCTCATGGTGTTGTTCGCCGTTGTACACCTGCTGGTGCGCCTTCTCGGATTCATCTATCCTGACGTTAGCATGATTTTCGCTTCAATAGCCAATGGCGTGATGTTGTGATATTGCCGGCTATGCAGGTCGGGTCGGCCCTAGTGCATGCAAGCTGTAAGGTATGTGTCTAAGGGAATTCGAACTTACCCCAGCCGTAAGCCATTGTGTATATAGATAGATGAAAAGTAGGTGAGAGAGAAAAGTTTGTATAGTGATGAAGAAAAGAATACAACGTAGTGCGGGGCGATGAGGGGATCTTATACCCAGGCAAGAGAGGGACTACAGAATACTCCAGAAGGGCTACGTAGTCTACGGGGTACGTTGTACTAAGATTCGGGTATAGCTTTCTCCCCTCTGTCTCAGCTGGAGTTGCCCCACCATCCAATCTACCAGAATAGTGGCTGAGCTGGTTCAACATGTATGGGATAGATATGTCCGAGGTGGAGCGAAGACACCCTTCCGCCACACAAATCAGACACAACTTTCAGGGTGTTGGCCCGTGGCTGAAGCTGGCAGATGCTTCCGAAGCACATCCTAGTGATTATTGTTGCGTATCTTCGGCGATGCAGGCAACTTCATTGGGACCGGTGGTGGAATCATCCCACCACCGCATCGCTAGTCTCCGACTTCATTGGAGGACCACTTGGACGGGACTCCTGTCACAATTCCCGAATTACCGCCAGGGGTGTTTTAGATTTTGCCGGATCCCAGCTGAACTGCTTTTTGGTCCCCGGGATCGATGTTTGGTCAAGGGTTGCCCTGAAAGACGCTACATGCATGCCCAGCGTTCAGCTCGCTCAACAACGGACAAGTAGCATGATGCACTGTGTATACTATACCAATGCTGCTTTCCGCATGGCGCTTTCCAAAAACTTGGACATCCGGTACGGAGTACAACTTTCGACCCTCGTGCTCGGCATTACGAGGACGTGTCCCACCAATGTCCAATAGCGTGTCGATCTGATGGACCCGGATGGGTCGTCTCAGCCCTACTCCGCTATGAATTGACGAATAAAAGATGAGACACACGATACCAGATCCATTTCAGGTCACTTATACGGTATGCGTTACGCACATGTGCAGTTAGAAACCGATCAGCCTGGTTTGATCGAGCCAAGCCTGCCTTTTAAGGCTTGTCGTCGCCTTAAATTCTCGGCAACACCAGCCACAAGCAAAGTGGCGGTGAACATGGAACCGGGTGCACTTGCAATGGCCTCCTACATCATATGGAATAATGAGCAGTGACTTTGTAGAAGTACTCTTTGTATTGGTAAAGATATAATACGGGTGGGCTGACCTGAAACTAAGTATGTTGTACATAGTACTTACGTACGGTGTACTGGAACATCTGGCTCTAAGCCACACTCGGACTAAAATAGCATCACTACGACATGTGTCAGATCAATACACTAGTTAGTTAGTTAGTAATTACTCCGTAGAACACCACCACTTAACTACCTATTGCCAACTTATGAAGATCCCTTTCCCTTGAAACGATAGAATGTTTCAATCTCTTGATCAGCAACCGCAATACTCTCACAGTACACAGTGAGATCGTCTCCCAATTAACGTGAAAGCCTTACCGTAAATACTCTGTATCGTGTCCATACTAGTAGTACTCCGTAGTACTCCGTACTCCGTACTATGTACTTACAACCCTCCGTGGCTGGAAACATAAGCTCTGCGCCACATATCCATCACAGCCACACTCCGCGGCATTCTCTGAGCTCAAGCTCCAAGCTCCAGCTCCAAGCTCCAACTAAACTTAGCTCAACTCAACTGAATTCAAAATGCCTACCAAAACCCCCGCCCCATGCGACTTCCCATCCGAACTTACCGTGACCATCACACCCGCCCCACCCTCCCCCGCCCGCTCCCAATCAGCATCCCCAGCCCCAAACATCCTACTCCTACTCCATGGCCTCGGAGACACAGCCGCATCGTTCACAAAATTCGCCGAAGCCATCCGGCTCCCAGAAACCACCATCGTCACAGTCCAAGGCACAGCCCCTCTGCCCTTCGACCTGGGCGGCTTCCACTGGGGCGACGATGTCTCCTTCGACTCCGCGACCGGCGCGCTAGACATGGACGCCGGCCTGACGCGCAGCACGAGGATCCTAGTCGAGGACGTCGTCCGGGGCACGCTCGTACAGAAATGCGGGTACGCGCTGCGTGAGATTATGGCGCTGGGTTTCGGGCAGGGCGGGATGGCTGCGCTGGCTATGGCGCGGGAGCTCGGGCTGAAGGGGAAGGAAGCTGGAAATGGTAACGGTAACGCGGACAGTGGGGAGGTTGGTACCCTCTCTGGTGTGATCTCTATCGGGGCGCCTTATCCGTTGTCAGGATCCAGGGTCGGGAATACGAATCGCACCCCGGTGCTACTGGTTGCTGGCAGGGATTCGGTGGCGGTTTCGGATGAGGCGGTGCGTAGGACAAAGCAGGTTTTTGAGTTCGTCGAGGTGAGCCGGTATGCTAGGCGGGGGGATGGGATGCCCTCGAATCGGGAGGAGATGTTGCCTGTTATGCAGTGCTTTGCGCGCAGGTTGCGGAGTAGACAGGGTGTTCCTGAGGGCAGTGTGGAGATTAGCTGAACATACAGCATTACCTGTGTAAATTGGATGTCAGTTCACGATTTCGCTTTGCGGTCCGAGACATGTGTAGGTGCGCTGGAAGACGCAATTGGGCACATCCTGGCGTCTGGAAAATGGGTGACTCGATAACCTCGATAATGGTCGGGAATCGACATATCGATTTTCAGCTGGCGACATTCTGTAGGTTTCCGTAGTCCGAACTAGTGGCATATTCGAACTATCAAAGAGGGGTTACGGCGCCAATCGACAACGCACAATTGGTCAGGACCTCGCATTCGTCAATTTTGATCACATCCAAGTCATCTGATCTTAATACTCTTAGTATAGGTTCATTGCCTAGCCAAGCTATGAGAACCACCTCTCTCAAGAAATTCTCTCACGTTCTGATACACCAAACCCAAATCGCAAAAGGTAACCATCGATGATCACAGTGCTCAAAACTACAGATATGAGGCTAAGACTGACCGCATAGAACAAACAACATGGCCTACAACCTCTCAATAGAGGTCTTCGGTTCCGGCGATAGCCCCACACACCGATCCCACTGGGGCTTCATGATCAACAAACCGGGGAATCTAGAATTCGGAGATCTCCTCCAAGTCGAGGTCGTTGATTCAGACCGGTTGTGGTACGGTTTTGCGCCTCGGTACGCCACAAAGATTATCGACAAGGCGGCTGTGGGGATGTGCAAGCTTACCGATCTGACGTCTCAACAACGACACGACGTGATCAAGACTATCGAGAAGGTGCCTGCTCCTAAGAATTCAATTGGCCTGTGCCAAGATTGGATTTTTGATGCTTTGTTGTCTTTGGAGATTGAAGAATTCGTTCCTTCCGGTACTTCTGCTTTCTGGAAGGGCATGATTGGCAGACCGGCACGAGAAGTTGCTGCTGCTTGTGGGACGCAGTGGACTGCCTTTGCTTGATACGTTTATGTGTTTGGATAATAGGTCAGGGCATGGGATTGGAATGATTGGAATGTCAGTGAAGAGAAGATAATAGTATTTGTGATGAATTGTCTCGTAACTCTAGTATATAAACCCCTTGATATATACCAAGGCATGGTATGGCAAGTGCCTATGTACATAGTTAGCTGCTCCTTTCTCGAGCCCCCATGTCGGGTCTCTTCACGGTCCAAGGGATATCTTCGCAAAGCCCACTTTTATGCATCTATGTTCAAATATAAACCACCTCGCTGTGTACTGAGACTCCCCAGAACCCACAGAATGCCTCAAGCCCAAATATAAACTCTCAACCATATCTAAATACAACCAAGCACAAAAATCTAACAGGAATCATTTCTTAATCCCAATAACAGCCAGATTGCGCGGACTCTGGCCATACTCAAACACCGTCTCAACCCAACACTCCTTGACAGAGTCATGCTCACGCAGGAACTGCCAGCGATCCACCACAATAGCAGCCTCAACAACCTGAGAACTGAACGCCATCAGACTCCACACAATACTGAGATTCTTGCGCGTGTGCAAGTACTCAGTTTCATAGCGCTGCAACTCCTCTTCAGACATGGTACAGATGCGCTCCTTGACCAACTCGCCTCGGATCGGATCCAGGCTCAGTTTGACCGTTGCAGCCCGTACGTACGCAGAGAAAGACTCGAATGCAGACTTGCGGAGCGACCCAACGATCAGCGCTATACCCCCGGAATCGGGGCTGTCGGTGTGGTCTTTGTAGAGATCATCGGGCACATCGGGTTTAGGGACGATGCCGCGATCTAGAAGGACGCGCTGCAGCAGAGCGCGGTAGAAATGGCGCGTGAAGAATCCTTCGCTGTCGGCGTGGCCCCAGTTATGAGGTGCCTGTACGGCCATTGAGCGGGCTGTGATATTGAGCTTGAAGCCTGTTGTGGTCTTTGCTTGGTAATTTTCATAGAGTTTGGACATTGGGAATCCGTGCGGGTCCCATGAAGATCCGGTCTTTTTGAGGCGGGGGTGGGCGGATCGAAGGATGGGGATTTTGTATGTTGCTGGTCCCAATCGTTCTGTCAGAAGGTTGTAGCAGCAGCCGATCATGGCGATTGCTACAACAGAAGGATTGAGCACTAGTGATCGGACTCCGTGGTGGAGGAGGTTTCCGCATGAATGCAGAGAGACCACCATCACCCGCGCGTCACTTGGTTTCTTTTCGGATTGCACGACGACTTCTTCTGTGCTGGTCCGGGTTTCAACTGATGTCTTTGGGTCCACGACGTGCTCGATGATCGGTTCCAGGTAGCCATCTTGGATATTATGTTCGATATAGCTGACAGTGCCTCTGGTGTCGACCTCCGGTCGGGCCTTTGGTACATGTACTACATGTGGCTTTCTGTACATCGAGCCGAGCACATCATCCGCTTCTAGGGTCATATCGGCTAGCATGTTAGAGGTGGTATCTTCATCCAGCTCAGCAGGTTTTTCTGGCACTGCATCGCTCAGTTCCAGTGGTGCCCCCATATCCAAGTCAGGAACCTCGGGCTTTTCCGCAGTGGCTAGGTCTGGGGCTAGTTCTGGGGTTTGCATGAATTGCCTCTTCAATTTGTTGTGCTTTGCATTATGCATTGTCTTTATCTTTTCCTCCTTAGCCAGTCGAGCATGGACGTCCATACGACTAGCACCGCTGATGTATTGGTGTTTCCGCTCAATTGCAATGATATGCTTATGATAGGGCGAGCTTGCCAGCATGCGCCCCAGGTAGTTTTGCCCCGACCCAAAATCAACAATGTGAGACAATGGCTCCCCGCGACGCTCATTGACCGTCTCCGACAAAGATGCGACATAGCGAGAGAATTGCTCCACCTCATGCTTCTTCTTCTTGTTCATGCCGATAGCGATATGCATCGGGAGAGGTTCGCTCCTCTCAGATGTGGTGAACTCGCGACGGAGGCTGAATCGTCGAATGTCGCGAATGTACTCGAGGAGAGATGCAGGCGGAAATGCGCTTCCGTTCCAAGTCCTGCCATTATCGGAACTTGCGTTTGTTTCGACGGGTTCACACAGCGGGCCAATGTCCTCCCGTAGTAGCAGTTGCAGGATGCTGTGGATATCGTGATGCTCGAAAAATGATCGCCAGTCTTCCGGCAGTAGGGACGTGTACAGATCGGGATCGCGCGTCAGGAAATCGAGGATATGCACGCCACCGCAAAGGTTCATGAACATGACCGACTCGGTTGCGAATGAGAGGAGGGCCTGGACATATTCGTCGGGATCCTTCCACTCATCGGAGAGTGGAAGGGGGGTTTTAATCGTCATGCTAGATCAGATGTCATTAAAAGCACGGAATAAGTCGTCAATTCGTAGAATGAGGGACATTCGATATACTGTGGGGAATGTTATCGCTTTTTTTTTATCTTCCCCCGCGTACCCGCTCAAGGCCGCTTAGTCATGTCTAGAGGCCATTCCAAGGACGATCATCTGAAGACATCACGCTAGAAGGGGATTGTCGGATGTGATATAGCATGTATACGCATATTGCTGCTACATGGAACCAGATGGCCATTGAAACAATCTAGTCATGTCATTTCAGAGGTCAAGTCAAGATTTCCACAGGACAAGACGATGTGATGCAAAGATCAGAAATGCACAGTTGAGGAAAGGACGACCCAGGAACATCCGTACGGCTTCAAAGTCCACAGTCAAGTCGGATGTAGTCGGTAGCTGTAGGGTTGTGGGAGAGGGGTAACACTGTCTCACTTCAAGCTACCTAGGATAGTACAAAAAAAGAAAACATGACAAAAGATTAGAAGGGTTGTATTCCGTGGGACCGTCAATGGCTATGGAGTCCGGATACTCAGCCATGACTTTCTCGAAGAGCTCGCACGAGAACTGGACTTTGATCTGGTAAAACCTGCATAGACCTCAACAACTTGGGAATGTTGATATCCTTGTAGGTAAAGTACCCTGTCCTCTGCCTGCGCTGTCTCATGGGGCTACGGGGAGATGGCGGTCGAGAGGGATGGGGAGAAGAGAAGAAGAAGAGAAAAAGAAGAAGGGGGGAGGAGCCCTTTTATATGGTCACTTCTCACGTGCCAGACATGGCAAACAAAGTTGAAGGAAGGAACGTAGCTTCCCTCATGGTCGATTGCTCTTGCCTTGCTCTACGTGGCAACCACCATTTCTCTTCTCAAACATCTGAACCACAACACACCGCAGCAGAGTCGACGTACGGGTCATATTTGTCCACGTGTGTACCCTAAAGCTCACCAGGACGGACAAAAGTTGCAGTTGCTCGGCCAAGCCTCAACCCTCGATGGATATGTGGTTGTATATGCAGCATCTGCCTGGCTATTATCGCCTCCGTGGTGTAAAGATCAAACTGGGAGAGGTAATTTCCTATGAGCTTTCCAAAGTTGCATTCAGAAGAGTTACTAACAGTTGATTCCTCATGTAGCAAATCCAAACAAGGCCATTGCTCGATCCATATAATCACCGCAAACTATCATTCTCCAAAGCGCTGCAACCTAAACTATGTCAGGTTTGGGATCAATGTCTGATACCTACATCTTTAGTGAGAGCGGCTTGTAACCTTTTCAATACAGGGGCATTGAACCAAGGCCCGCGTTGGGTAAGGCTTAAGAAGACCGCATCTACTGCACCATCTAAGCCAAGCTTGCTCCGACAGGCGGCAAGAAACAATGTGCGACCCTGAGGATCCCGTCGTTCCACATCTAGACTAGTTCCGAAGAGGTCGAGGATTGGCTGGATAAGCGCACCATCCTCAAGCAAAGAGTGTGTAACACTGCATGCCCCATACATGTGCGGAAAACGAGCCTCTTGGTCGATATAATCCTCATAGGTGTCACTAAATCCGTAATATTTTCCCCCAATAGCCCGAGTCGCTCATGCTCCAGCCGAAGCGTCTCATCTATCCCAACAAGCGTATCTCATACCGTTAAGATCGGACTCATCACTATCATATTCCAGACCCCCCGTGTCCTTGGAAATAATAGAGAAATCCTATAGTTGTAGGTGGCTTGACGGCTGCGTAGCTTTCGAACCCCGGGCCTCATCCTCTGCCAGACCAAAAAGGGCGGACTCCGAGTCATCAAAGCGTGCATTTGGATCGAACTCTGCAGCTAGGAAATCATAGACTGCTGAACCAGCATATCGGGTTCATCCATCTATCCATTGACCTTGTATAAATGGCACTACTCCGTAGTTTGAGAATCAATGTTCGTTATTTTTGTTTTTTAACTGATGCTGATGCCTTGTCTGATGTAAGCAAAGTTGACTCGATGACCGGTAATGAGAAGGCATTTTCAACATAATGGGAAGTAATGTTGATAGTCGAAGATTGAATGAGAAATACTCTCAGCATAATCTCATTCGGTGAAAGATTGTATAGAAATGTGTATGTTGTACTCCGTACTTAGGAGTTGGGCCGTGCGTTGGGCCGAGTAAGCCAAACCGCGCGGTTGTCCTAAAATTCCACCGTAGAGATCAGTCAGCAACACCGCCGCTCCAGTCTCACCCGTCCGTGGACCAACCCGGGGCCGAGAACTATCAACAACTCACAATACCCCATACCGCAGCCATGGAGCACGCAGACCCATTCCTACAAGTCCAAGCGTGAGCTCTACACCAACTCCAAGCGCAAGTCCCCAACTAACCAACGTACCAGCGATGTGGTCTCAACCCTACAAACCAGCCGGCCACTCTTCTCCTCATACCTCCGCATCCGGTCACTAGCCAAAAGCCCCTCCAACCCAGAACTCAAGCAAGCGCGCTCGGAACTCGAAAGCACATTAACAGAGCTAACAGCCGACCTCAACGACCTCGTCGAGAGCGTGCGCGTAATCGAACAAGACCCCTACCGCTTTGGCCTGGAGCTAGAGGAAGTGCAGCGGCGGCGCAAGCTCGTCGACGATGTCGGTGATGAGGTCGAGAAAATGCACCAGGAGCTACAGCAGACTGTCTCCAACTCTGCCGTCGACACGCTGCCGAACCCTACCGAGTTTGATGCGGCGCTTGAGGAGGAGGAGCGCGGCCGGGGCGGGGACGATTATTATGCCTCTTTGGAGCAGCAGCGCCAGACTGAGCTTATGCATGAGCAGGATGAGCAGCTTGATGGTGTTTTTCGCACTGTGGGCAATCTACGTCAGCAGGCTGATGATATGGGTCGTGAGTTGGAGGATCAGGCTGTCATGATTGATGAGGTTGATACGCTAGCGGACCGAGTTGGGGGAAGTTGTCGAATGGGATGTCGCGTATCAAACATATTGTGCGCAAGAACGAGGGTAGGATTCGCTTTTTTATCCTCCCATTTACTCCTAATCTCTACTGGATGGATGGTCTGGTATGGTATGGGAATCTCAAGTTCAAACTAACTTTTCTGACTAGATACATGGTCCTCGTTTTGTATCGCAGCACTCATTTTCGTCCTCGTCTTATTATTAATCCTACTCATTGCACTGTGATGATACAAAATCAAGGGGTTAGTTAAAAGCAAAAATCAAAGGGGGTTGGCGTTTCGGGTGCAAATGGTTTAGTTTCGAGCCTTCTTGCGCGGACGCAACTCACTGTCTTCATCGGAGTCGTCTCCGTCCAATTCCTCCATATCGAGGTCCATATCTTCGAGCTCTTCGCCGATTTGGAAGGATTGAACTGGTCAAAGTCAGCAGGGGAACATCTCACTCGTTCGGGATCTACATACCGTAGTAGCTGAGCGCATCGGGCCAGAGGTCCTCGGCAATGGCAACAGCAAGGTCATCTCCATCGGGGAAGATATCGATTTCCTCAACTCCCTCGGAGTCATCTTCCTCATCCTCGGAGTCGGAGTCACCGGCCTCCTCGATATCGTCGCCGTTCTGGATCTTGGCCCAGCGAGCCTCGATCTCCTTGGCAGCCTCCTTGGACTGAGCGGCGGAGACATCACGGCCGCGGTATCCGAAGAATCCGAAGAAGCTCATGCCAACGGGGCTGGGCTCCTCGTCATCCTCGTCATCCTCGTTGGCCTCGGCCTCAGCCTCCTCGACCTTCTTAACGAGAGCAGCGAACTCGGGCAACTTTCTGCGGTCACCGCCCTTCTTCTCAGCCTCAGCAAGGTCGCAAGCAGCATCAAGCATGCCCTTGGTCAAATCCTGATCCTTCTTCCAGTTGATGCGGACGGGCTCGGAGACCAGACCCTCCCAGGTGCGAGTCTTGCCAGCGGCGTTCTTGGAGACCTCCTGGCGCCAGTAGAACTCCTTGACGAGCTTCTCGTTGGTGAAGAAGGGGTTCTCGTCGCCGGTCTTGAACTCAAATGTGAAGCGCAAGCTGCGGGGCTCGCCGTTGCCTTGGGCGTCGAGCTCGAATCGCTCGACGTTCATGTTCTTGAGGCACTCACCGAGCACTTGGGCGTCGGTGGCCAGAATGTACTCGTCGATCTCGGGGGGAGCGCTAGCGAAGACGCGCATCCAGAACTCAGCCTGGACATCGGGGATGTTGATGATCTCGCTGCGCTTCTGGATCAGGGGGGTCATGAGCTTGACGGAGTGGCGCACTAGAGTGTGTATGTTAGCAATTGGGTTATCGATAGGTGCGCTTCTGAATGCATGGTAGAGTAGCCTCTGCGAGCTGTTCACTCCATAACAAAATAGAAAATCAACAGAAACATACACTGCTCAACCTCAGCACGGGCGAACTGCTCTTCCAGAACAGCAATCTTCTTCATAGCAGCCTCAGGGATGCTAGGCATCTCGACACGGTCAAGGAGGGACTGATCGTTAGACATGATGGGTATGTATTCGTGAATAAGGGTTGTAAGTAAATAATGCCAGACAAACACGCAGACTTGAGTGTTAAAGACAGAAGAATAGAAGAATGAAGGAAGGGAAAATAAAATATCAGAGGGGAGGCAAACAATGCAGGGACACGGCAAGAAAAAAAAAAAAAAAGCGATGCGCGCATCAGAAGGAGAAGAGCTAAGCTACATGACGGTACTTGTGGGTACTTATCCTTACATTGTTATAATGCGTTGAGGTTATGTATCTCGGTGTACCCGTGTGTCCACCGGGCAACGGGCAATGGTGGGGGTGGCCGCGGTGGTCGGCCTCAGGCGTCGAGGACTACATCATAGGCTGGGAGATGGAGGGAAAACTCTGACGCTGATCTTGTTTGTGGTGGATCTCAACGTGGCCGTGGGTTATAGATTGTTCTGATTGGTACTGGGTAGGCTTGGAGTCTTGGTATATGGTAAGTACATGGAGGGGTAGGACAGGTTCAATGCTAGGTGGTATGTTGTATGGGGATATAGGTCGATGTTCATAGTTATAGGTAGGAAATACGAGATACGGTTATCTGCACTCTACGCCGTATGTATGTTGTATCCTGCTTTGACAGTTGACATATGCAGGAGCAAATCTCACCGTATGTCTATACAAACCTTCAAGAGCCCTAATGCATACATTCCAATTGTAGGTTTTGGTAAGAATATGCCTGAAGAGATAACGACTATACCTTACCTTCTAAACTAAACTCTCTATGTTGTAAATTGTTGCAAATTGCTATAAACATGCACCGCCACATACCTCGCCACATGCTAATCAGATCCAAATCCTCATCCTAACAAAAGAAGCGGGGAAGAAGAAAAAGCAAAAAAAGCAAGCATACACTCCAAACTAAAAATAAGAGAGAAAATACTTTATTTCAACGGCAATTCATTCTCCTGAACTTTCGAAGAATCCATCTATACCCAGGTAGAGTGTATATATATACACCGCACAATTCCATCCTAACACCTGGGCCCCTTTGATACCAGGTCTGACAGTTACTTTTATAAATCAACCCCCTTTCCCACTATTTTTTCTCTCGAGGTCCGAGTCCAGAACTTCCCCACATTTGATTTGCTCATTGATTTGCTCATGCATGACCCCGTTAGATAAGAGGAGCGGTCTGCGTGTCGAGCGTGTGAATGTTCGATGTGGACGCACGGGACCTGCAGGACTCGTCAATTGGGGTCAGGTCAGCAGACGTGAGGCACGAAGCACGTTGTGTCATGGTATCGATTAATGGAGACGAAAAAGAGTCGGGGTGAGTCCGGGATTTGGATTTGGATTTGGGGTTGTTATGTGGCGAGTTTCTATGGAAGAGGAGGTGAAGTGAAGCGAAATGAAGCGAATAATGGATTTTGGAATTGAAATTGAAATTGAAATTAGAATTGGAAATTGGGCTTATTAGCGATCGTATAGGAGCTAGATCTTAGGCTAGTAACCGAAGTCGGGATATCTTATTCCATTTGTTTTCTTTTGAGCTTGGGATTGAGGATGAGGTTCATTGAACCAAGTAAATAAGAAATAAAGCAATATTTTGAAAAGTAGAAAGTAAAACAAAACAAAAAACACAACTTTTTCGGTGATTTAGAACAAATATCAAATCAAACCAACCACAAAGCAAAAGAAACCTCGTCCAATGCTACCCCAAGCATCTTCCGATTAAGAACCGAGGTCAAGTCATGAAAGTCCATATATCCCATGCCCGTTCGCCAAGAATGCAATGATTAAAAAAACGAAACAGATCGAAACAGCAAGGGCAGCTTCACATGCACAGAACACATCACCATGCACGTCTCTGCCCAGATCGAACTGTAAGAAAGATAAGAAAAAAAGCAAGGAAGTCATCAAGAGGCCAACCACAAAGACAAAGGCAAAAGCAAAAGCAAAAGCAAGAGTCTCAAACCATCCAGTCCAGCCCATTAGCCTCTTCTTCTACGGGGAACACTTCACGCGCATACTCTTCCATGTCGCGCCAGCCCTGCCACAGATGTCGAGACTCGTCCGTCACCCGGAGCGAGATGACACCGCCAGGTCCTTGCATCATGCCCGCGCCGGCGCCCTTTCCACCCGCGGGTCCAAGACCCTTCGGCGAGCCCGCGGCGGGCCGTGAGAACTCGGGCTGCGGGAAGTACGGCGCATCGCATCGGCCAAACAGCTCCTCCAGCGCCTCGAGCTGTTCTCGATATCCCGGCGGGATGTTGACCTTGATCTCGATCTTGGGCACGCGGACGTACTGGCATGGGCGGTCCAGGGCGCGCGAGAACGCCGCGCACACCTGTAACGGGGAGAGGGTTTCGAAAGTGAGCGCGATACTAGGTGGCGGGTTAGCTTTCTTTCCTTGATTCTTTCTCCTAGGACGGTGTCTGGAAATCCGTCCCGGGTGATGATTCCCGCACTCACCGATGGCCGTTCCATTTCTTCGGGCCGTCCTTGAAAATCTGCAGCAGCGTCGGACCAACGTCATGCTCGGCGTCCAGCCACGGCAACGGGATTTCCGGATCGAACGGCGCACGCCACTCGAAGCTCCCGTCTGGCAGCAGCTCCATCTGGAAGAGCGGGTAAGGCAGGCTCGTGAAGTTGTTATTGTAGATGCCGGCGTAGACAAAGGTGGCGGGCATTCCGAGCTGGCGGATGTAGTTCTCGACGGTGAACTTGGGCGCCCACTGCGGGACGGCGGGCCAGGGACCATGCACGGAATGATCCGGCATACTGCTGTAGATGTAGTGCTGGATTGTGCCGGCGCGTTTGGCGGCGTCTGCCAGGTCGCGGCCGATGGCGACCTCGTCGCCGGATTGGGAGGTGGTGTTGATGAAGGCGAGCTGGGCGCCTTTGAAGAGCTCGTCCATCAGGGCGGTGTTGCCGAGCAGCGGGCCTTGCAGGAGCGTCACATTGGGCAGTTGTTGGAGTTCCGGGGCGATGACACCTTTCAGGGAATGTATTTGCGCGCGCACGGAATACCCCACGGCGGACGCGACGCGGATCAGCGAGGCCGCTTGCCGGCCTGTCGCGTTGACCACGGCAATGGTCTTCTGCGGTTGTGTCATCCGGGTTGATCGGGGGGGGGGACCTTGGTGGGGGGAGGGAGTATAGAGGGAGAGGTATAGAGAAAGAAGAAGGTTATCAGAGAGGACAAGAGGACAGAGGACAGATAAAAGAAGAGAAATCCGGAGTAGGCCTTGGCGAGAAGGGCTTTGCGATGGTGGGGTAGAAGTTGGGAAAGTTGTATGTAACAAGAATCGTGATCGGACCTAAATTATGCGATTGGAACAGTCAAGGTCAGGAGTTCTCCAAATTGTCCTTCTGATCTGCAATTAATAAAATAATAAAAAGAAGGAAAAGACGCAAAAGACGCAAAATTGCCCCAAAAATGGCATTCGACTTCCGAAAACGCGGAGAGCCAGAAAGGATAAGATAAGAATTCTTTTTCTATGCGCATCGTCCTCTATTCCCTGCCACGCTGCATATCAAATCCCTTTTTCCGGCTGCTCTGCGTGCTATATCCAAATATAACCAATTCCCCCCCCGAGCGAGAAAAAAAAAAAAAAAAAACCCACAGTGCGGTCTCGTCCACCGGTTTTTACGTAAATCGGCACCACACCTGGGCATTTTCGGCAGCACGGGAAGATCCTGATTCGGGAACTTAGTCGGTTGAGACTGGATGATGT